TTGCATCACTGTTTTTTTTTAATTTGGGGTTTTAGAGAATAGCCTTTTTGTATATTTTATATTTTTGTGTAAGCTATCATAGCAAGTAGTTACGATTGGTACAATTTCATGGTCTCAGTTAAAACCTAATAGTGAAAACTAGGTTTGCAACTTTTATAACCCTAGTTATTTTATAATATGTATTGGTTAATCTGTTATTTTTTAATTGTTCTAGCCCTATCCCCTAACCCTGTTTATTAAGAGTTCCTCATTGAGATTAAACGGTGCCCCTGTCGTGAGAGCAGCTAGTCAGGGTTTAAAAAGTCAGGACTGGATTAAGCAAGTAATTAAAAGTAAGTAATTTCAAACGTACTCAGAGTAAACATGAGATTAGAAAAGGTGAAAGAGAAAGGTGGTGGTATTATAAAATATTCAGTGGGAGTGGTCGTATCATGTGAAAATTTAGAAGTAAGTTTAATGTATTTGTAGCATCTCCAGGTCATGGCCTACTTAAATACATAAAAACTGAATATGAAGGTGCACATATTCATCAATATTAAGATTGCATAGTAGGCATATAGTCACAATAAGTCCATATTCTGCATGACCACACTCAGTCAGTAAACAAGCAATTATTGCTTTGGTTTTTTGTTTTGGTTTTTTTATTGTTTTTTTTATGACCTTGTAAAGTATCAGTACCAGAAGAGTCATTCTCCCTTGTTAACACCTATAGCAGCTGATACACTGTATAGTAGAAATGGTGCTATTGAAAAGCACTTTGAGTGCACTGTTAGATTAGAAAAGTGCTATATAATACTCTCAGTGAAAACAAAATACTTCATGCATGCACTCGATGTACAGTTCATTGCTAGCTTTTGATATTTTGGGGTGTGTGTGGTTTGATGATCTTATGCAGATATTTTGAAATAATGAGATGAGAGAGCCAGCCCAACAGACCAGCCTTTGTCACTGAAGCATCAAGCACACTGTACCTACTACTTAGTAATACTTTGTTTAAACACATGCCATGTCCCTCTCTAGCCGTAGTAAGGTAGACGAAAGGCTACAATTAATGTGCGAAGAGATTCTGGTGACACTAAACTGTGTAAGCTGACAAAGCAGAATTCCAGCTAAGTTATAAATAACACAGAAGAAGACTGGCTTCACTACACCAGGCTGTGATTACTAGTCCACCTTCTCTTCCTCTCTGTTTGAAAATCTCTTAAGTGCTCCATTACTACAGGGCGTAGTTCCTCTTGTGCTGACTTTTTTCCACTACCAGTGAACTGGAATAGAACCTGTGGATCTTAGTAGCATCTGCCAAATGCAGCAGTTATATACAGGGATGGGAATCACAGTATGATACTTTTACAACAACAGTGATGTTCTATTGCTTATACAAAGCATATATAGCTCAAGACAATCATCTGCAATCTGTGTAACTGAAGAAGAAAAATCGGGAATTATCGGGTGTCAGTATGTGGGCATTTCATTATTATGCACTTTTAACATGTCAGTTCAATTAATTAGCTCCCTGATTGGCTTTTTCCTGCTGTTTGCCATTATCCCCTGTTTCTTGTTCTTCTGTGAGTTTCTTCTTCATTAATGCAAGTTCGTGACCTTGCATATCAAAAAATGACACAACCAGAAAAATATTCTTTCTTTTAAGTTGAGTTGATGCAATATGAAATGATACTGTATTGCACTGTTTCCCTCCTATCTTGATGTCATTGTGTCAGCTTTGGCCTCCATGCATTCATCCACCATCTGCTCTACTCTGAAAGTCTCTGCCTTCAAACTTTACACACACAGAACTCAATGAGTTGAACCTTGATGGCCTCTAAGAGTTGGACGCTCCACTATGACCATCTGAGTTCCATTTGAAGTCTTTTACAAACCCTAGAAACAACTTGTCACAAACCCAAACCCCATTTCAGAATGGCTATATTGGCAACAACCACTCAATGAAAATAAAACATCTCCAGAATTATTCCCAAGGACATGGAGTAGTGACCTTCCTGGTAAATATGGTTGAAGCCCAAAAGTCATCTGCCTGGTCGAAACTGACATGTGCTGGCAATGTCACTAGACTAGAAGTCAGACCGTCTCTTAAGAAGCAAATAATACAACTCAGATTATTTCAAAGAATGAATTAAATGAAATTATCTTTGTTCTGCTTTTTTTGACACGGTGACAACTAATATTGCCGGTACATGATTATGAACAAATTAGTGTTACTGGAGACTGTTTTAAAAAATAAGCAAATTAATACTATGAAGCTATTTACAGTTTTGTGAATTAACTCAGTAGGATAAGCACAGGATTTAGAAGCAAAAGGTCGCAGGGTTTGAGTTAATCTCAAGTTAGAATGTTTTTTTCATCCTGTTTTGTCTATTGAGAAATTGTTTACATTTCGTTTATTTTTTATTCTAATTAATAAAAAGATATAAAATAAATCTTGAACACAAATGTTCTCAAGACGGACTTCTAGGTCTCGTTGAAGATATACTTCGAACTGACTAGATGTCAAGAAAAAACCATCAGCTGATGCTTATCCAATACTGCAATGTTTGCTGGACTAGGATATTTTTCAAAATATATAAAAACCCAAACACACACTTTTCCGACTTTCCTATCGGAACACATTAACCCTGGAGTTGCTCCCTTGTTCCAACATCTGACTCCCAAGGTAACTAAAATGTGATGTATTTTACTTTGCTTTCAGGGGTTAACTGGAAGACGAATTGTTGTATTTGAACTTCTGGGATCAATAACTCAGAAAAAACCTTATTCAAACACCAACAGCACTTCCTTTCAGTCACGTTAAGCAGACAACAAGCTAGAAGGTTATTTGCATCCAGACACATCATTTTCCAACCTGGACAAATAATGCTGGTAGAAGTTGGCTATGAGTCATATGAATATGGAAGATCTTCAAGATGCAACAACAGAACAAAATTATTCGAGCATTCACACTTCTGAATAATATAGACTGTTTTAAGAACATTATTTTATAATTTTCAGCTGATGCAATGAACATTTAATAGTATTTCTGCTTAAGCCTCTTTTGTTTGACCGTGTTATTACAAATAGCTTAGTTAGCTTTACTCAAAGAGATTTGTACTCTCAGACATTTAACAAAAAAAAGAGAAATTACCTCTTGTTGCATAAACTCAAGCAAAAATTAAACATAATCCATAATCCTATGATGTATTTGTTGTACATAGCTTCTAGCAGAAATAGTTCATCTGTGAGATTCTTGCAACATCTGGAAAGAAACACCACTTTTCTTGCCTCAGTCTAGTGGCAGAAAAGTCAATTGTCAAAGTAATCACTGAGTCACTGGTATTGATCAGTACCCGCTCACACTTATACACCCTCCTCTCTCCAGATAAATAGTGACAGTTTTCTAATACTATACAGTGAAATGAAACACTTTCTTGTCCTTCTCAGTAGACTCAATCAAGATCACCATTATGTCATTATGACATCTGTGTTGATGCTGTACATGTACAGCAGTCCCTGCCTGACCTGACTCTGACTGCTGCACTTGTCTGTGTTGTTATAAAGAAAGAAAGCACATGGGCTCAGGAGCCATCAGCTCTAATAAAGATCCTAATGGTTGCACCTGCACATGCGGTGGGCTGTGAAATGCAGCTGAGGAGAGGTGTTGGTCTGGAAACACAATGTCCGCCATTCAGTTCGATGCCGGAGTCCTTAAAATCTGTCGCCGGCAGCCGGGTGACACGGTGCCACTCATTTTGCAGTACAATTTGGGTCAGCGTTGGCTGATATTTTAAGATACAATAGCCTGAAGTGACTTCCCGGCATGTGCACGTGTCAAAAAAAATGGCATCAGCCCATGAATTAGCAAATCCAATCAGAGTTTCGTGATAGCTGTCTGCTCAGAGGGGCCCTCATGGGAGGACACTGCTAACTGTGGCTTCTGTGGTTAACAAGCACAATGAGAAAGGGTTTCTTTTTGCAGATAAAAGAGGGCTTCAATGGAAAAATGTATTTCCTTTACCGTGCCTGGATTGTACAGTATCTGGACTATTGACTGGAAACTCATGGCTGCTGCTTTAATCCATCCTCTAAGTGAGTCAGTGTCTGAGGATGAGGATTGTTGGAAACAGGAGCAGGAAGCTGTATTATGTTGGAGGGTTTTCTTTTTTCACACCCAGGCTTCTGTGTATGTGGGGTGCTGGCAGTGTGTGAGATAAAGCTGTTTTAGTGCTTACAGGAAATCCAACCCATCCATCTGACCATCGCATAATGGACTTGAAGGGGGGGGGCTACAGGAACTAAGGATATTTGATCAAAATGATCATGTGCAGTCCTGTGCCATTATATAGAGTGTATAAAATACTGAATGGTGAAATAAGTTTTTAAGCTCTTAGATTTATGGGTTACACTTAGTACATAGTGCAGCCTGTCTTATGATGCAGGTTCCCCAAACTTACAATGCAATTCTTTATTTACTGTTAAGGTATTTTAGACAAAAGTGCAAACACGTTGTATACTTCTTACAAGAAGTACTTGTGGTATAATTTGGTTTGTCTGTCTGTTAAAACGATCAGTTGTTACTGCATCGTTCTACCATATGAACCAAGAAGCAAAAACATGCATTGAAAATCACACCCTAAATTCAGAAAAAATACATAGAAAAAGTACACGGTTGGGTTTTTTTGTTGTTTTTTTGTTTTAACAAAAGCATTGAAATAAATACTATAGAGTAAAAGGTACAATATTTGAATCCAAAATATAGTGGACAACAAAGCAGCATAAGAGAAATACTTAAAGTACATTAAAACTGTTAAGTTTTACAGTAAAGTACTTGGTAAAATGCACTATATTACATGCAACACAGCAGTACTCTCGCTCAGCAGCTTTGTTGGGAGGCAGGAACATTTGGGGGGTACAGGTACCACCCCATGACCCCCTTCTGTATATGCCCCTCGCACTGAGGCAGAGGCAGGACTGCTGTGGATTAAGGGTTCATGAAGTGCGACTCCACTCACCATGTTGACTTCTGACACCATGTCTATGCTGGCCACATCTATGCTCATGCCAACAGCGACAGGGGGCCCTAGAACAGAGTAATTATGTCATGATTACAGACCTCCACCTCTACGTCTGACCACAACACTGTAAATGGCGCCAAAAATAAAGCTGGGGGATAAATGCGGAGCATACCTCCAAAGTCCGGCCTCAGTCGGATGTCGTATCCTTTAAGTAGTTTATCCACCGTCTCCTTCACAAAAGACATGTTGCCCGGTTCATTGACGCTGAAATGACAGCAGAAGCAAAGAAAAGAAAACATCACCTTGACTCCCGCATCAATCAGCCCAGGCAATAACCTTGGCTTCTCAGAAAAGAAAGAAGAAGAAAATAATGAGAAGATCACTGACCTTTTTGCGCAACACACAATCGAACCGATAACCAGTGCGGACAAGACGCGAAATTGACGAAGCTTGTGCAAAGCAAACATCCCCCCTTTTCCTTTTTGTAATTGTAAAGCACGAAGGCAGCAACAGCAGAGAGCTCACCCCCCTGCAATCAACAGCCGAGACGGACACTCTTCAAATCCAGAGTAAATCCATCGATTGCCCCCCCCCAAAAAAGCAAGAAAGTAGACTGAGCCGCGGAAAAGTCAGCAGCTCGCTGTGGATGGAGTCAGATGTGAAATATGGGCTGACATCGCCTCCCTGTCATAAATATTGGCTCCGCTTTCCTTTTTGCCGTCTCTGACTGTGCGAGTGGCTCTTACATTCAGGAGCTGAAGCGCATATTGATGAGGAGAGAACATACAGGGGGGCGATGCTGCTGCTGCTGCTGGTGGCGGCGCTGGTGGTGAAGGCACTCGGCTTGTTCAAATTAGAAGCGAAGCCCCAACACTTAAAACACTGTAAAAAAAAAAATGCTGAGGTAGAATCTGCAAATTCAAGCTTTTCATCTTATATATTTGGTGAGCTGTTAAACTCTTTTTCTTTTCTTTTTTAGGGAATCGTTTTAAACCAGACTTTTGTTAAAGTCCACTTATTTCTGCTAATAAACCTTGTGTCTATTTTTGGCCCTAGAATTTATCAGCAGGGGCGCATTTGCGGTTTCTTTTTTTGTTTGTATTTTTGTTTGTTTGTTTTTTGAGGACGGTAAAGATATATATTTTTTTAAATTTAACAAATAAACATCAAGTTGCTTGAAAACTGGGGGCCAGGGGGGCAGTTGAGCAAGTTATAATTCAACTTTATGTTTACATGTTAATGTATGCATTCAGCAATAAATAAAGTGGCTGACTTGTAACCATATGGCAGTCGCACTTACTCAGAGTCATTGAGTAATGATAAAAAAAAATTATGGTTGATTCTGCTACAGAATGTGGGGATTCCATTTTGTCATGGCTGTGCCTACTTTAAATGGATCTGCCTTTTTAACAGGTTTCTTCCTGTTAGAAAGGAGTTTTTCTTCTCACTGTCCCCAAGTGCTTGCTCAAAGAGGGGTTTGTCGGGGTTTCTCTCTATTACATAGGGTCTTTACTTTACAATATAAAGGACACTGAGGTGACTTTTGTTGTGATTTGGGCTATTTGAAAGACATTGAACTGAAGTAAAAATACACATGTTGTTTAGTTAAGCTTGTTTCCACTGATTACTTATCTTCACTTCCTCGATTACCTCAGTAATCAGTGGACTTGATTTTTAGAACACTAATTAAGCCGTTGCCCCACCCCTTCTCCCACTCTCAAAAACACCCACATTACAAAGCACTAAGCCAAACTCTCTTATTAAAATTCTCATTTTTTACAGTGCACCCCACACCATCTTCATCCTTCCCTTGGGTTTCCTGTAAAAATGGCGGGACCTGAACAATATGGAGTGGGGACAGGCAGCATTTATCAAACCATTAATCGAAGCTGTTGATTTATTGGCCTGTTATCTGTTGATGGCCCTTTTGTGTCTGATTTAAAATGTGTGGACTGCACCATAAATTATTTAGAGAGTCGGGGTCAAAAATTCGTGAACAGGCTAATTAGGACCGCCTGCACACGCGGACGCGCTTGCACAAGACCCAGTGGAGGAGCCTGGATGAGGAATGCGCGTGCTGTGATAGTTCATACCTGGTGTCATAGATGGCGATCAGCTTCTTGTTTCCGTTAACAGCATTCCTGAAAGAAGAAAGTTGATGACATCATTAATTAGAAAATAACAGGAAGACACTGAAAATGAACTTCTTTCCTCCCGTTTGCAGCTTCATGTTTCCCCGAATTTAATTGTGGTTATAAGTTTATTATTCATTATTATTATTATCATCACTGGTGTCTTATGCGTGTTTGAGCCTGTCTGATGTGTTGTGTGACTGTGCTCTGCATAGCCTCGTATTCCACCCAGTATTGCCTGCAGTAACGCAGAGGTCTGAAACAGTGGGATGCCTGCAGGGCAAAATATTGAAAGCCAGTCGATTTCCCCCTGGAGCCCCCTCCAGGATAAAAAACATCTCACAACACCTCCCCCAACCCTTATCTTCCTACCACAGAGAGAGGTGGTGGTGAGTTTGGGGGGGGGCTTTTTCGCCATCACTTTCATTCACACTCGTCCAAACGGTCAACACTCCGCGAGCTTGTTCGCACCAGTCGCGGTGCTGAAATCACCCTCCGAGGGTATTCTGGCTGCAGCTCCCGTCCGCAGACTGCACCGCCAGACGGATTCAAGAAAGTAGAGGGAGGTTAAGTTTACCAGCTAATTATCGTCTACGAAACATGGAACTCGGCTACCCTCTTATGGCAATCGTCAGGATGATAACTACTCTGACGTGTTTCTTGCGAGCGCTTGTTTTAGTGGCTCAGGGTTAAACAAGCCGACCGAATGCTGTTTCTCTCACAGTGATTTGCCCCCAGTCTGTGTTGTCATGCGGGTCGCAGACTCTTCACACATATGGACACACAAGTCATTTCACTTCGTTACTCATAGTTACTGTCACGAATAATGACACATTTTATAACTTGGAATGGGTGAACAGTGGAAACAGTGTCAAACATAAGGCCAGGGGGCCAGAATCGGCCAGGCAAAGACTCCAGTCCGGTCAACTGGACAGCTCAAATGTGAAGAAGTGTCTACAGGGAGTGCAGAATTATTAGGCAAGTTGTATTTTTGAGGAATAATTTTATTATTGAACAACAACCATGTTCTCAATGAACCCAAAAAACTCATTAATATAAAAGCTGAATATTTTTGGAAGTAATTTTAGTTTGTTTTTAGTTTTAGCTATTTTAGGGGGATATCTGTGTGCATAATTATTAGGGAACTTAACAAAAAACAAATATATACCCATTTCAATTATTTATTTTTACCAGTGAAACCAATATACCATCTCCACATTCACAAATATGCATTTCTGACATTCAAAAACAAACAAAAACAAATCAGCGACCAATATAGCCACCTTTCTTTGCAAGGACACTCAAAAGCCTGCCATCCATGGATTCTGTCAGTGTTTTGATCTGTTCACCATCAACATTGCGTGCAGCAGCAACCACAGCCTCCCAGACACTGTTCAGAGAGGTGTACTGTTTTCCTTCCTGTAAATCTCACATTTGATGATGGACCACAGGTTCTCAATGGGGTTCAGATCAGGTGAACAAGGAGGCCATGTCATTAGTTTTTCTTCTTTTATGCCCTTTCTTGCCAGCCACGCTGTGGAGTACTTGGACGCGTGTGATGGAGCATTGTCCTGCATGAAAATCATGTTTTTCTTGAAGGATGCAGACTTCTTCCTGTACCACTGCTTGAAGAAGGTGTCTTCCAGAAACTGGCAGTAGGACTGGGAGTTGAGCTTGACTCCATCCTCAACCCGAAAAGGCCCCACAAGCTCATCTTTGATGATACCAGCCCAAACCAGTACTCCACCTCCACCTTGCTGGCGTCTGAGTCGGACTGGAGCTCTCTGCCCTTTACCAATCCAGCCACGGGCCCATCCATCTGGCCCATCAAGACTCACTCTCATTTCATCAGTCCATAAAACCTTAGAAAAACCAGTCTTGAGATATTTCTTGGCCCAGTCTTGACGTTTCAGCTTGTGTGTCTTGTTCAGTGGTGGTCGTCTTTCAGCCTTTCTTACCTTGGCCATGTCTCTGAGTATTGCACACCTTGTGCTTTTGGGCACTCCAGTGATGTTGCAGCTCTGAAATATGGCCAAACTGGTGGCAAGTGGCATCTTGGCAGCTGCACGCTTGACTTTTCTCAGTTCATGGGCAGTTATTTTGCGCCTTGGTTTTTCCACACGCTTCTTGCGACCCTGTTGACTATTTTGAATGAAATGCTTGATTGTTCGATGATCACGCTTCAGAAGCTTTGCAATTTTGAGACTGCTGCATCCCTCTGCAAGATGTCTCACTATTTTTGACTTTTCTGAGCCTGTCAAGTCCTTCTTTTGACCCATTTTGCCAAAGGAAAGGACGTTGCCTAATAATTATGCACACCTGATATAGGGTGTTGATGTCATTAGACCACACCCCTTCTCATTACAGGGATGCACATCACCTAATATGCTTAATTGGTAGTAGGCTTTAGAGCCTATACAGCTTGGAGTAAGACAACATGCATGAAGAGGATGATGTGGACAAAATACTCATTTGCCTAATAATTCTGCACTCCCTGTAATGAAAGTTGTACAGTTTACAATTACAGGACAGTATGAGCAATGAAAGCTCTTTCTGTAATTATACACATTTATCATGTTGTTTTACTTGTCCGGCCAACCTAATAAACCAATTATTGATTTTTCAAAACCTGACTTTATTTCAAAACCCAGTAGAACTTTGTCTCTTTTGCTTTATCTATAATAAACAGAATAGCTACAGCAACTATAAATACAAATATGTTGGGATAGCAAGTGAACTAACTATAAGGCACAACTTAAACTGTTAAATAGTCATATAGGTGGATGAAATGAAAGGGTTAAAAGAGTGGACAGTGGAGGTAGCACAAATCCAACCAACAAACAAATTCTTTTTAAATACAGATAATAAAAATCCCCAAAACAATCTCTGCAATAGTAACAAGTTATTAATTAAGCTGTTTTAGTGAAATATTTGTAAGTATTGATAACACACAGCTAGCATAACAAAAATAGGCTAAGAGTCCAAATTGCAGTCTAAAAATACATGTATAAAATTGTTACTATTAGCTAGAAGGATCAGCTGTTAGCTAATGGCTACATATAGTAGTTCAAACAAATAGGCTATTTAGAAAGATTGACTAAACTACTGAAATCAGGCACTTCTTCATAAGAAATAGCAAAAGCTAAAGAGGCCAAATTAAAATCCTGGTTAAAGGATTTCATTAGTGTGCTGCTACTGTGTGACGTTTCAGGTGCAAAAGTCCGTGGAAGTAGTTTGAGCTCCCAAATATTGCATGCTTCTTTCACATCCTCATTAATGGATGATGTGGAATTCTGCGCATCCTCCTTCCAGCCCACCAATGGGGAACACCTATTTGGTAATTATTAGCCTCTGTTGCGGCACTTCATTCTCTCGTTCTCTCGCACCGGCAGTAGGCGGTACAGGAAAGGGCACAGAGACAAGAAAAATGTGGAGCGAATCCGGTCTCCTCCGAGGTCGGTGGACACCAGCGAAGAGGCACCCAGTGTGATGCTGCTGCTGCAACACCTCTGGAGGCGATGCGGGAAACGCGGCGCAGCAGGCACTAAAGAATAAGCGAGGCGGTCAAGCCTATAGGAGGAGCAGAGCAGACAGACTACTACAACAGCTGCTGATGGGGAAGCGCTGATTGAAGGAGAGAGAGAGAGAGAGAGAGAGAGAGAGAGAGAGAGAGCAGAAAGAAGCTAAAGAGAAGGAGGAGGGGAGAGAGAGCCGACCAGCACGGGAATTTAGTGATTGGACCCGCGATCTTCCAGTTTCGCCGACTGGAGACCCCAAAGCCTCCTGTCGCTGTTTGGAAAGAAAGCAACAAAAACCAAACCTTGCTGGTCATGGATCCTCGTGCAGGTTAGCCCCTATTTTTCCTCCCGTTACCTCTCTGTTTTTTCCTTCTGATGAGACAAACAAGTGTGAGTTTCATGGGTTTTTTTCGGTGATGGGGAGAGTGAGGGAAAGGTGGAGAAGAGGGATGGGATAATAGGGGGTGGCCCGTTTATTGTAATAGGCTGGATTGGAACGCAGTGGAAGCTTTTACACAATGGGACTGATACTGCAGGAAACATGCCTCTCTATGAGCCTCTTTTATTTACCAGCCTATGTGGTGTTTTTGAGCATGCCGAGTTGTTTTTTTCTTTCTTTCCTTATTGGAATTTTTACCAAAAAATTAATTAGTTATTCTTGTTTAATATTAAATAGTTGCACCTTGCACCCCCCTCACCCCCCGCCAAATGAACCAGAGATTGTCCCGCTGCTTGATTTAGTGTTTGCTGTAATGCTCTCTGTATGCAGTGAGGTGAAGACTTTTCCCGTGTCTGGCCTTATGGAGAATCCTTGACCTCAGTGTTGTTTCTGTGTTATTTATTGATTCTGTGATGCCCTTTTTATTCTGTTCTTTGTCTCCTTCTGGGTGTGTGTGTGGTAGCTCTCAACAGTAAAGTGACGGCAAGGCTCCTCGTTTCTCTCCTGCTTCTTTGCAGATGTCAAAACAGGTAAAGAGATTTAATAATAATAATAATAATAATAATAATATTAATAATAATAAAGTTTAACAGTTATATATAGCTTTTTTTCCCAAAAAGTAAATGGATTCATGACACTAAAGGTACTTTTTCTAATTACTCAACACCTTCCAGCATGCTGAGATGTTTCCGGTTGTGCCATTTGTAAATACCAATGTGCAGACCGATAGAATGATACCAACGCATGTATTGGTATCTGATCGATAGTAGTGGGATAGGATCGATACTTTGCTTCTGTTCTCTAAGTTCAGTATCTAACCCACTGAATTGTGTCAAATTAATTACTTTTTGGAAATGGAAAAATATACCTCAACCATCTCTTATTGCGAATTGACTGTCATGTCTAGTTTTTATGATCTATAGAACAGAAGTTTACTGAAAGTGCATCAGGGACAGGCACATTTATGTTCCCGGTCTCCAAAAAACCCGGTTTTAAAATACATGAAAAGCTGAAAAGTGTGTTTTTCTGTGTTAACTCTTTATTTTGGAAAGTAAAAATCACACTGCTCTAGTGGTCATTAAAATGTGTTAGAATTTACAAATTGATTATCTATCTCATAAATCAAGATTTACTAGTATCCCCTACATAAGCTGCTTTTATATGCTAAAAGTATTGCTATTGGTATCGGCTTTGGCAATACTGGTGTCATGGTCCTGGGCCATGTGGGCCCAGTATTCTTAGTTTTCATGTATTTTTGTATTTTGTTCTTTATTTAGGCCATGCTTCCTGGGTTGATCTGTTACGTTGTTCCTTATGTGTTTTCCCTTCGTGACTCTTACCCCCTGTGTGCCCCTCTGTGTATTTATGAGCCCTCGTCTCTCTTTGTGTTTTATTCTATGTTTTCCCCAGCCCGTTATGTCTGCGTTCTCCCCGTGCTCTCTCTCCTCCTGTTTGAACCTCTGTGTACTTCCTGTTTTACTTTGCCCATCTCCCATCAGTGTTACGTTCACTCCTGCCGTGTCTTGTTATGATTATCAGTGTCACCTGTGTTCCCCGTGTGCATCCACTTCCCCTGATCATCCCTCATGTGTATTTAGTCTCTGTGTTTCATACAGTCTGTGTCGCGTCGTCTGTGTTCCCACCCTCCATGTTTCCATGCCCGGTCTGTTGTATTCATAGCCTTACCTTAGTTCATTCCCAGTTTAGGTTTCTGTTTAGTTATTGCTTTTGAGCTGCCCTTATTCTTGTTTGTTTCTCTTGCGTTACCAGCCACAATAAAAGGCTTGCTTTTGTTTAAAGTTTACTCCCGTGTCACTCGTGTCCGCACCTGAGTCCTCCACGCACTCTCCACACGGTCTGTCACAGCGGACCGTGACACTGGCCCTGTATTTACCAAGTAAACAACTATTGAATTCAGAATCAGAACAGAATCTGATGCTAAGTGACTCACTATACTATCGTATGGTAGAAGTTGGTATTAAACCCAAGTACAACTTTTTATCTTTATAACGAAATACATATTTTGAACACAACGCTATAGCAGTTGTTACTTCACATTTTTTCGATATTGTGTTCATTTTGGAAGGTTTTGAACTTTTTTAAAAGGCTAAGTTCAGTTTTGCTTTGCGGTCAAAAGCATTGTGACAGATTTTTACGCCTCTATTTGCAGGTGACTCAAAGCAACTTCGAATTTTTAGATCCCGCTCCCTTTGACTGATTGCATATCCGAGCTGTTCTGTGCTCTAATGCCGCTTAAGCAGGAAGATCTGTCAGCAGTCCACTGTCATCCAAGTCGATCAAACCCCGTTTATGACCTTTTGTGCGTTTCCCCCTCTTCGCCGCTTGCCGTTCTTTGTAAAAAGATCCTCCATGCTGCCTCGCTCCCCCGCTGTATTTAAAGGAAGAACTCATTTGTTTGTATTTGGATCACATGTCAAACCCTTAATTACCTCTACTGGTAGATTTGAGGCAGCGCTTGTGTTCAATAATTAATCGCAACAAGCCTGCCGTTAATGCGGCAAGCCAATTAATCACAACAATTGTGTTGTGTTGTGTTTCTGAGGTCTGCTTCCTTTTGTTTCCTTCCTCTCTCAGTCTCTGCCAGTCATCCCCAGAAGCTGAGAAGGAGGTGGGCACCAACGACAACAGCACAGTCTTCACCAGAATCCTGGATGGGCTCCTGGACGGTTACGACAACAGGCTTCGGCCAGGGCTCGGAGGTTTGCTTACAGCTATTTTGTGTTTTTCTTTTTTTTTCTTTTTGAAAGGAACATTTAGTAGTCTTAGTACAATAGTGCCACATTTGAACCTCCCACTGTGCTAACCTTCTAACCCTACTTTGGCCAGGGGAAGCCTGGTTTCCTGCTGTGATTTCATGCTCTGATTCATTGGAGAACGCTGGGAGACTGGCAGGTACACGGGGGTTGAAACTGTGCAAGCAGATGTGGAATTTGCCCCCGTGTCAGCCGAGGTGAAGGTGCACGCATGCAGTTGTCAGGTGCTTTTGTTTCCTGTGTTCCCCGCGAATGCATATGGCTGTCTCTTTTTCAAGCAAATCAATCAAGCCATCCTCAACACGGCCTCGATTCTGTGTGCTGAGGTGTTTTTATTCACTTCTCACCCTGGCAACAGGAGATAACCTTGAGAGGCAACAAATTGCCATTCAGAGATGGAGATGCTTGAAATGAAAGCTTTTGATTTTTCCTTTCTGCAGTCGTGCTGTTTCCCGTTGAATTTCTGCAAGCTCCTGACACTGGTCTGGTTAGGCTTGTTGGTCACGTATATACACTACTTGTTCCACGTGAGAAGGAAAGAAGGGCTTTTTTGTATTTTTGTTTTCATGCCACATGCCTGATGTGTCATTGCAATAGCCTGTCCTCTCTCACATCCTGGTAACGGTTGCTACCTTTGACAAGAGGGCCTATAAATATATATTCAGGCTTTCATTCAACAAGCTACTCTGCACAGAGTGACCAAGCCCAGCTTCCCCTGGTCCACATTGGTATTCAGAGAGTTTTGTGATTTTGGAACAAATGAAAGAAACAAGTTGCCTGTTTTTCCTCAACATCTTTAGAAGGAATCCGCTGACAGAGAAATCATGAATCCAGGTTGCTTTGTGTGGTTCGTGTTGAGTGACCACACTGAAGCCATTGAGAGGGGCATAGGGAGGTGGGTTCAAATGCTGACACTATTGTTAAATATTGATTTAATTGATCCTAACCATTTGCATATATTAACATTAAATCTGAGCATTATTTGCTTCACAATGTTATACCTTTAAGATGTAAAACTAGTGATTTGTATATCCATAGAAAATTATTTTTGTAATCAGGGCATCTAAATGAATTTATGTCCGTTATGATATAGAAACTGGACAGTGGTTGGACAAAATAGTATATATGCTGAATTACACAAGAATAGGAAGAACTGATTTGATCAGTAATTGATTAACCTCATAACATCCACCAAGTCCACCTATATAGGGTTAGGGTTAGGCTGCACTTTAGCCACATTCTGTGCAATCAAATTACACGCATTTATTATAAGATTTTCACTTGGGTGTGCCAAATCTGGGAAATATATCATCTGGTAATGGTAGGCATCAACCTATTGGCAAATAATATGATAACTGCCAATAAGAAATAAATAATAAGCAAAAAGTCACGTGTCATAAACAAGCAGAAAAAGAAAATCATATTAACTAATGGATAATTTGCTGTTGTAAAGATTGTTATCAGCAGTGATGCCATAGACTTCCTGTCTTGTTTGAGTAGTTAATAAATGCTAGAAAGTCCCGCATTAGGAGTTATGAAGAAATAATAATGAGCAGCTCATTAATTATGACGTCCTTCCTGATGGGTTGTTCACTTGTGTCCCTTTTAGTGAAGAGCTGCCTCTTCAGTGTCTCTCTTTAACCTCCAAACCCTGTTTCCATCTGTTCTCTCTCAACAGAGAATGTCACAGAGATCAAGACAAACATTTTTGTCACCAGCTTTGGCCCCGTGTCTGACACGGAGATGGTGAGTTCATCCACAGCAAACACTACAGAGAGAGATTGGCTAAGGTGGACAAACACACATACAAGCGTCTCCAAAGCCCATCCAGGCAACTGTCGGTATTTTTAGATGGAAACATATATTTACATTTTATGAGACGACTACCGCTTTCTGGCTCCTGCTGTTCTCTGGAAGTGAGCTCATGTCCTAGTTGTGTCTTTGAAGATTGGCTCCTTTTGGCTACTTGGACACGAGGCAAAATTCATGTGGGTGATTTAAACTTTTAATGCAGCGTGACTGGCCCGTATGGAGCACAAAGAGTGCCAAAATGAAGTGAATAACTACATCATTAAATAATGAATGAAATGTGTCGTTAACTCATTCAAATGGGAAATCAATCAATCAATAATTTATTAACTGCATAAATAATTTATTGAATACATAAATAATCAAAATATTGATTCACTTTATTTAAGAAAAAGAAAAACATATTTAATTATTTCATGGCTGTAGTGCTGCAGTGCGTCACCAAATAATTGAAACTGTTACTGCAGCTTGTCAGCAGACTGTAACATCTGCTGCTTTTGTTTTCATTCGAAATGCATTCTGGGATACCTAGCTGTTCCGAGTCCATTGCATCAGTCATTATCTGGGATTGATCTGGCTTCGGTTTTGATGAAAAGGTCATTAAACTATTTACTCCGAATAAAGACTACAATTTTTTTCTGTGTATTTAAATATAGAAACTGTGTGATCGAGGCGTGAATGGACTTCACTTTTATGCATCCAAATCGAATGGAAAGCTTGCACGTTCAAAAGCACGTCAGACGAACATTTTAACGGTCACCAGTGGGTTTCACTTTTAAGAACTGGGATGTTTTTAGTTTTGTATGTGCCGTGCCTTTAATATTCTGCACCATTAATATGGGTGAAAGACGTCACAGCGCACAGTGGAGATTGGAGAATCTTTTGAGACATTTACAAGCAAAGAACCATGAGCAGCATAAAAGGGCGCAAGTCGCAGTGAACAGAACAGAACGGTGTGGCCGTTCTTTTGAGATAAAGTACTGCTTTACCTTTGTAGTCATTTCTGTGTTTCATTTCTTTCTATGTTTACTATTAAAAGTCCCCATTATTAATATTAATGTGAAGGTTAAGGTTGTGCCCATTCCTCTTTTAGTGGCTGTTTAAAGGTGTAGTTTTAACCACTGTTCAAAATCATATTTAGAAGTAATTTACAAGAAATTACTCTATTTATGCTTGTGATTTATTGGTAGATCGGCATTTAGAAATAATGCCAAAGACATGTATAAGAATCAGTGTAACTAGCTGATAGATGGATGATATTAGCCGTACCATGTGCAGGATGGGGACGTCTTTTCTTATTAGTTAGAAATTCCTATTGCATTTCTAATGTTAGTGATTAAGTATGATTTCTTTACAATTCTCAGCTATAACTATACCAAGTTTTAGGCTCTTTAATGATGTATTCTTTTATTTCCTTTTGGCACTCTTGTCGGTCCATAGACTTATTCCAACTTGTCTGAAATGAATCATCTCTTTATTAATCCTACGAACTATAAGGCTCTACCTGGATAGTAGAAAGCATTAAATCTCCCCTTTCATTAAATCTCCCGTTACACCCTGCTCCATCCCTGGCACGCTTTTGACACAGCAGTGATCAGACTTGCTACTTTGTCAGAGGAGCATGATTGATTGATTAATTGCGGCAGGAGACCTGAATGTTTCTACAGTCCATAAAAGCTTATATGTGAGCCCGATAACGCCGTTATCATTCAGCGGGCTGGCATGTTGTTTTAGTGTCTTGCTCGTTTGTTTTTCCGAGCTCAAAGCGAGTTGATATTTCACACATGAGCAAACTCAAGATGGATTTAAACGCCGCCGTGTTTAATCACAATCGCTGAAAAGTCTTCATCGATTTATGAGGACATACAGGAGGATCTGTTTTCCCTTTAGCTTGTCCTTTATGTCACATTTTGAACGTGAGAAAAAAAATCTTTATTCAGTTTATTTAGGTTTTGTGCAGGGGAAAAAAAAAATCACACTGATGACGTAGAATCTGAAAAACTGACAAAATGGGTGTATTAAATATGATACTTTGCTTTGAGAGGTTAAAAACACAGCCAGAGGAAGATCTGTTCCCTTTAGCATCCTCAGTGATACAGTAATCATTGAGCTGACACACTAGTACACAAGCCAGTTGCACGTGATTACTCACAGCACAGCGCACGGCTATATCTTCTCATATTTTTTTCCTTTTTAATCCCGTTTAATAATGCAAACTGCACCTGTTAACACTGTGATGTTTCTTTTTTTAAATTGTTCCCCACAGGTTTGTAATCAGGGGATAAAGAATGTAACCGTTTTAACAGACATGCATCTGAAACTATTTTTTTTAAAAATTTCCAAAAAAGGACTTTTTGCTTTTCTACAAAATCCAGGGTTAGACTTCCAAGCTAGGTTTGAGGTCATTGGCGACGATGACGTTAATCTCAGGTTGACATCCACCAGGTCACTTGTGATTGGGTTTCGTTTGACTCACATACCAAACAGGCGGATTTCACATGCAGTGTCAAACATGCATGATACTAACCTAACCCAAGACAAGTGGTTTAGTAGCTGGTGGATGTTTTGAGGTTAAGAAGGTTGATTTTATATTTTCTACATGTTTCGTTTGGGCGCTTCTTCACTTAAAACCCAACCAGGATCTTTTTCCCCTTTGCTGTTCGCCTTAGGAGTACACCATAGACGTGTTCTTCCGTCAGAGCTGGAAGGATGAGCGCCTGTGCTTCAAAGGGCCCATGGAGATGCTGCCATTAAACAACCTGCTGGCCAGCAACATCTGGACCCCAGATACTTTCTTTCTTAACGGCAAGAAGTCTATAGCTCACAACATGACCACGCCCAACAAGCTGCTGAGGCTCAAGGATGACGGCACCTTGCTTTACACAATGAGGTATGATGGATTCCCTGTATAACGAGCCGTGACTAAGAACAAATGATCAAAAAACCGTACAGAGCCGTACAGAGGCTCAAGGTTTCTCGGGATTCTGAAGTGAACCTCATAGTTATCTGTCCTTCATCATTTACTGAATACTAGACCAGACAACAGCAGCAAGGCCAATATTACACAATAAAGCTTTGAATGTAGAAAAATTGATATGCGACTCAGCCTGCAGGAGAATACTGACATCCAGTGGACAATGAGAGGTACGATTCCTCATAGAGATCGTTCATACCAGCAGTAAGCCTATTTAAACACTTTTATTCCTTTAATTTTTTTCCCTTTTGCTAATGCTGAGAGTCACAGACCAAATCTCTTTTCAGGGAAATCATTCATTATGAAAAAGCGTCCTTGTTGTGAACTCGTTTTTGGCAGTAATTTACTGGTAAGTTGGAGCCAGAAAGGAAGGAAAAGTAGGCCAACAGAGACCTCCAAAAGGGTGATCGCTATGCGCTAAACCACTAGCAGATATGGATAAACACCAGTGTAGTCTAAGCTTTAAAAATGAGGAAAGAAAGCGTAGTGAAAGCACCCCTACGACAGAGAAATTATCATGTTCCTGTTAGCAGGTCACAGAGTGACCTTTCGACCAGTACATTAAAATAATTCTGTGCTCATTCTCAGAAGTCACTGCAGCTGCAGGTCTTAAACAGAGACTCCATCACGGATGAGAGCACTTCATCTGATAGCAGCAACACCCGCAGGGGGAGTAACGCAGCACGGAGGGCAGATTATCTGTATGCAGCCGCCGGTGACATATATACGTTTCCAAAAGAGGACACGTAACACACATGAACCAACTCAAGAGCACACACACACTGCGGGTGTGAAGCAGGTTGTAAGATCTAACATGATGCTAACCTTTGACCTCAGAGCTTAATAAGTAAAGGGTTGTGTGACTGGTTCATCTCTGTAAGTGTGAAGTGATGGAAATGTATGGACACGTACATTTATGTTCAAATGGAAAAAAATGTAACTGTGCAAGTGTGTTGTTGAATCTAAAAATGGCATCAGATCCTCTGTCACAGTAGAAAAGAAGCAGCAGTAGGCCTGCTTTTAATCGTGTGATTGTAACTGAACAGTTGTCGTTACCAGCAGTGCTTAACCATGTGCAGGTTTCCATATTATACACACACACACACACACACACACACACACACACACACACACACACACACACACACACACGAAAACATCAGGATCAGGGTACTTTAAGGTAACAGCTAACTGCAATAGCTAGCTAGCTGGACACCTATCTATCTAGCTCTCTAAAATCAAATCAAATCAAATCAAATCACTTTTTATTGTCACATCACATGTGCAGGCACACATCTATCTATCTAGATAGATAGATTATTCTGGCCTCTATTAACTTTAAATATGTTTTTTGATGGTGGTTGACAAACAGCTTCTACAATAAGTAGATTGCCCTCATTTTCTTGTGGCTCTTTTGTCATTGCATATCAGCAAGCACTTGGAGCCAACAAGGAAAATAAATATATATATAGTCACAGAAACTAGTCAATTGTTTAAGAGCTTTAGTCTCTATTGGAACATTACAAAATCATGAAAATCCTCTTGCTAAACATGCCCAAAATATAAACGGAGGTCAGAGTGTGTACAAGTAGCTCAGGATTCAGATAATTAGATAGCACTCAGTTTCAGACTGTTTGCTTTTGAAGTCATGGCCTGCACCAAGGCCAATTATAACATAAATAATATTGAATATTGTACACAGTATGTGGAGTTATGAGTTATTCACATCTTCTTGCACTCTCAGTGTATTGAACATGTCAGTCCCCATGTATACAGCAGATTAATACACTCAATAAACAGAGGTGCAGACATACTGCCGTTCACATAACTGCACATTATAAGACATTTACACACGCCCCGCATTTTTTCTTCAGCAACATGCATGGGTGTCAATGGAAGCTCATCAGTTTTCTCCTCTAAATGCAATTGCGCACCGCATCATTTGAAAAGCATTACTCAGCGGAGAAGCGGCCGGGTTTACAGAGCAAATTTCAATGCATTTGTCTCCATGGATAATTCTTAAAATGCCACGTCTGTCAGCACACCGCAAACTTAATGCATTATTATCATTATAGCCAGATACCAGATAGGCTGCTACATCAGCTGTATGGAAGCTCTGTATTACTCACGCAGGGAGTGCATTGCACACCATTGTCATTAGGTACAGCTCAGTTGCCATTATCATTTGTGCTGATGTGCTGCTATTGCCTATAGACTCTCTGACTAATCATTTGAACATAACACCACACTCACTAATATGTTATATGAATTGTAATGGCAGGTTCTTATCAAACTGTATTTTTTACGTTTTAACACTTTCAACTGTTCTTCCTTTGTTATTTTTCACACCTTATATTGATTATATAACTATGAAACACTCTCAGAATTATGGGTACAGTGAAAGTCCCTGTCCATCCGTCCACATTGATGTTACCCGCAGGGCTAATTAGTGGACCTCAAAGTATCTATATGTACTTTTCTGATGGCCAGAAAGTAAATATGTGGTCCCAAACTGTAAAATTGAAATATTTCTACCATTTCCTCTGGCGTTTAACATCCACCAGAGTGCTGAGGCACTTAGGGTTATGGCTGAGGTCACACGTTTATGAAGGGGCATAGTTTAAAAATGTAATGATTTTATTGTTTCTACTAAATTGTCACCAGCTGTTTAAAACTGGTCTCTGTCATATATAAAACAGGGCACAATAAGTACCCCCTGCCAAGGGGATGATGACAGTACCTTAGAGGGTACCCTCCCCAGTGGTTTATGTATAAATAAATCTGACTTACATAATTTTGCCAGTAAATAAACTAGTACTGTGGTACTAGAGTGAGGGACTATATTAAATCTCCAAAAAGTTGATTCTGTTCATCTGGACGTAGCGTTTTGTGGGAGAAACGTTTCGTCACTCATCCAAGTGACTTCTTCAGTCTCAGCTGACTGCAGGTTTCCCCAATCTTATAAACAGTACATTTGCATAATGACTGAAACCAGCCCACTGAAGGAACAATGGGCTGGGAGGTCAGTTCCTTAATCTTAATTCTGCAAATTCTCATGACCATTGATCAACAACCACTGACCAAAACCCACTGATCACAGACCAATGATTAATGGCCATGAGTACCGTTCGGAGACAGTTGGGGAATGGCTGCAATCACAGCATTGTACGATGGCCACTTAAAGCCACGCGTCGCACAGAAGCAGACCAACACATGGCCGCTCACACGGCGATGGGAAATCGAACGTTTCTGGTATGCCTGAGCTTGCAGAAAAGTTGGAGAAGTCGGACAATGTATATTAAAGTATTTCATTAGCTTCTATGGTTAAAATAGTTCAGATAGCCTCTTTCAGTGTCAAATTCTGAGTTTTTACTCCTTCAGGTTCTTCGGGTTACCCCCCCCCCCCCCCCCCCCCCCCCGCCCCCCCTTGTAGGATATACAAGAAGTTTTCAAAATGTGCCTTTTAGTGTGACAAGACAGTTGGTGTGGCATTGTGCCTTGGTGGTTAATACAGCATAAAGCTCCTGGACTCTCTGGCTCTGTTGTCCGACTTCTCCAACTTTTCTGCAAGCTCAGGCGTACCAGAAACTTTAGATTTCCCATCGCTGTGTGAGCGGCCATGTGTTGGTCTGCTTCTGTGCGACGCGTGGCTTTAAGTTCAACCCCATGCCTGCCTTTAAGGCATGCAGGAGTCAGTCTAATCCGTTATTTAAACTAGATCCGCAATGAGATGCCTGGCTTTTGACTTTTAAAGGCACCGAGTTAGACTCTGTTCTCTTTACAGCCATCCTGGCTAATGGGGCTACATGAATAATTAGAACATGGTATAATAGCCGACAGCCATGTTCTCATTTATTTATCCCAAAGACACTCTTTCCTCTTCCGCGCAGAGAACCCTCGAGCTGTGTCGACACAGTTGGATGGTACTGCACTGATGTGGAAAGCAAACCGAGCCCCCACCCCCACCGCCACGAAACATTCGCCTTCGCTAGGCCCAGAAGTGCAGAAGTGGCCTCCTGTCCCACTTTGTTCTGCTTTGTTCACCTTAATGATATAATTGGGAAACCTCCTGCAGTCGCCGCATACTGTACAGGCAGGGGGTACTGGAGCGTAAAACAAAAACACGTCCCGTGTGGATTGCGCGCCATCCTCAGTGACACATTTGTCAGAAAGATTATAATAGAGTTCAGTTAAGAGGAAAAATAGCTGCTACTCTGTGACTAATGTTGAGGTATGCATGAGCGGCTAAAGCAGAAAACAAGTAAAACGAGTCATTTCATCTAAACGTATGTTTGTGTGCACTTAGTTTATCCTTCATTCAGCTCATTAACCTCATTGTAGTCACATCACCGCTGTGCTGTTATTATTTGTCATCACGCAAAGAGTGGAACTACCCAGAGGGATTTGATTTAATCTGGGACAGATAATTATGTTTTGTGTGTTGTTGGTTTTTATGCCTGATTTAATTAATCTGGCTGCTCTTTCAGGGCACAGAGAGTTGTCGTCACAGCGGTTGAAGTGATAACGCCATGTCTCGGATGACTGTGAATACCCAATAACAAATAAAACATTAAAAAAAACTGTCGTTATGTTAATTGAGGATTTAAAATGAGTGGAAGGTGACTGATGAACATCATCAAATCATGCTAATGCTCTCATTTGTTTATAATAAAAATGTGTTTGCCTTAAGGTCAGTTCAGAAGAAAACAAAACTGAAGCAACCTCAGTTTTTTTTTTTCTTTTGGTGGGGGAACAACCAAGCCCTCTGACCACCAGGTGGCAGTATTGTCACTTGTGTGCTAAGGGAGAGTTGCTGGATTTGCAAGTGATGAGAGTACACCACCATTTTACTGTTATGTGATTAATTTCCTGGCAATTTCACCTACTGATAGCACTGATTAAAAAACAATAAATATCTCAAACAATGTGTGTTTTCAGGTCCCTTCTATTCTGTATCTCTCCCTTTATGATAGATAGCTGAGTAAAAGATGTGATGCACCCCATGTTACACTATAAGTGACTTACTGTGTTATATATGTTTTGTCTTAGATTGACCATATCAGCAGAATGCCCCATGCAGCTGGAGGATTTTCCCATGGATGCCCACGCCTGCCCTCTCAAATTTGGCAGCTGTGAGTAAAAAAACAAAAACAAAAAAGCCCTCCTGTGAATGTCGATCCCTATATTTATTTTCCTGTCTGCTAATCCCAGCTACTATGATACACAGTGGAGATTTTCCAGTCCAATGCAGCGTTTTATGCTAAAGTTTAATCTCAATTTAAAAAAACAAAAAGAGGCTCTGTTTATTTTGGGGATAATTAATTCACTCATTATCGAGATTATCAAGATTGCTGAGTTTGCAGTCCACGATTTTCTTTTCTTAAAGCAAGACTGTAAGACTTTTATTGAGCACAAGACTTTGGCATTTTCCATTATACCATACTTGTCACTTTTGTCTGCAAAGTTTTTTGTCTGCAAAAATAAACTAAATGCAAAACTTTTAGATGTATTAAGTATTATCTTTAGGTGCAATGTAGAGCTAAATGCTGAACTTCCACAGTACATGGAAAGTAAGTTTTGGCATACTAGACATCTTAGCAAAGAACCAGTTGTATCTTGACTTTTTTATACTTTCTTGAGAATGGTAAATGGCCTGTATTTGTATAGCGCTTTACTTAGTCCCTAAGGACCCCAAAGCGCTTTACACTACATTCAGTCATTCACCCATTCACACACACTACACACACAAGCTACATTGTAGCCACAGCTGCCCTGGGGCACACTGACAGAGGCGCCCTAATAAATAATTTGTTTCCATTTCTTTAGTTTAATCAATAGAAAATGCAAAAGGTAACACAGTTTGATGTATAAAAGACCATTTTTGATTCAATAAGGTGATTCCTAAAAGACTATAAAGCAAAAATGTGGTATATCTCAGCATGGTGTGCAATGTGTCCTTAACACATTTGAGGAAACTGGACAAATGGAGGAACAAGAAAAACTGGAAGGAAAAGTCAGCAGCATACAAACAGTTTTGTAGAGTCACGAATCCCTAATTTAATATGTTTGCTTCAAGTTGTTGTCCGTATGTACAGAGGTGTTCAGGATTAAGCTACAATAGTCAGTGTCTACAGCCATCTGTAAAACATACTGGTGCCTCTGTCATAGTTTGGGGCTGCAGTGAGGCAGTAAAAGCGTACCGAGATAGAAAATCACTCAGTGGAACACTAGCAGTCATTGATTGGCCTCCTCAGAGTCTGCACCTGAGCATTGTGGAAGCATTGCAGGATCAATTGACAGAAAATGTAACATAAGGCAACTAACATCTTAAGATGAGCTTTGAATGTCCCTCAAGAAGCCTGGAGAGCTATTCTTAAGGATGTCCTCAAAGACATTAGAAGAAGACGTTCTTAAGAAAGCTCAGGATATGTTTAAAAATAATAATGGTCTCTCCAAATATTGACTTTGATATATATCTATATATTCGTATCAATATTGAACCGTTCGATACAGTGCTTTCAGTTCGGTACGCATATGTATCGAACAATACAAAATTTTTAATTTATTTTATCAACTTTTCTTCTGACGATGCTGTCTGTGCTGAGCGCTCAGTGGATCTGCGCTCGACAGTGCAGCCTTGGCAGAGTAGTCGAATGCAGATTCACTGAGCGCAGGGCAAGCTAGCGAGACAGACCAAATTCATGGGCTGCATCCTCCTGAGGCCGCATTTGTAGACCGATTACATCACAGCGACGCGCCGAAGGCTGTCCAAATTCGTAGGCTGTGTCCCAATTCAGGGTCTGCACGCTTGAAGTCCGCATTTTAAGTGCGGTTACGTCACCGCCACGTGACGACGGCTGTCTCAATTCGAAGTGTACTTCAAATGCATACTCCAAATGCGCCGTCGATTCCCCCAAATATCAAGCGTGGTCCAGTGCACGCTTCGTGGTCCCTTATATCCCACAATTCATAGCGCGGCGGTGGGTGTGGATAATTAATACGGCAAAAAAATACGGCAGAAGGGAGCGGCCGAAGAATGAACTGTCAAAAGTAATTACTGAATATGATGTCACTTATTTATGTGCGAATGTTTAATAATGAAGACATTGCAAAACATTGCTGTTGGCCACATGTCGGCAAAGTTGTGTGACATTAGTGATGCTTGTACTTTCAGCCTTAACTTTGTTTTAAAGCCCCCCCCTCTCTCTCTCTCTACATATATATATATATATATATATATCCATCCATCCATTCGCTTCCGCTTATCCTTTTCAGGGTCGCGGGGGGCGCTGGAGCCTATCCCAGCTGTCATAGGGCGAAAGGCGGGGTACACCCTGGACAGGTCGCCAGTCTGTCGCAGGGCTAACACACAGGGACAGACAACCATTCACACTCACATTCACACCTAGTGACAATTTGGATTAATCAATTAACCTATCCCCACAAGCTGCATGTCTTTGGACGGTGGGAGGAAGCCGGAGTACCCGGAGAGAACCCACGCAAACACGGGGAGAACATGCAAACTCCACACAGAAAGACCCCGGCCTGGTGTTGGAATTGAACTCAGGACCTTCTTGCTGTGCGGCAACAGTGCTAACCACCGTGCCACCCCGCTGCCGTGTGTATATATATATATATATATATATATATATATATATATATATATATATATATATATATATATATATATATATATATATATATATATATATATATATATATATATATATATATATATATAAAATATATATAAAATAATAATCTGACAATACTATAATATTGGCCATATTATATTTACATTACCACAGTGAGATGATTTTAGTCTCATGAATAACATCAGCTAATTGTTATTTACTAACTAATCTTAAATGACTGTTCAGTACAGAAATGAAGCCCAACAATCATGTTTTACAGTCCTGTGGTCTCAGCCTCAGATACTCAACTAATCAAAGTGATGTCATGACAAAAATGAATGACCAACAAAACATTTTTCTTCTTCATTTATGTCACATCTCCTTTCTCCTTCATGTATGTCACGTTTCTCGCAGTTAGTATCATGGTTGCTAGGCAACCTGAACAGCGCGACGAAGGCTAGACCGTTCCCTTTCACAAGCCTCTCACTTCCGCACTTCTCGTACGCACCGTATGTAGTACGCGTAGTGCGCGTACTTCAAGCGTGCAGACCCTGAATTGGGAAACAGCCGTAGACTCCTTCGAATGCAGCCGACAAATGCTTCCTCCTTTTCCCCGAATTTGAAGGATGGGTCAGGTGTGTCCTTTGTGGCCTACCATATCCCAGAATTCATAGCGCGGCCCAGCCAAACTCCAGTTTCCAACAATGGTGGCCACTAAGAAGTTGTAAAATTACTCTTACTAATCTTTCTGGGTCACAAAATAAACTTTTAACATATTTTCAGGTGAGAAAGTACCTGTGTAAACATGAAATATGTGCTCGGTTTATCGAGATATCGCATATTTGCAAAAGTGCTTCGACGTTTTCGGAGACGTCTGCTACCCACCAGCTCAATAGCTAGTCGGGAGCTCGAGGGTCACTGAAGCCACCGAGAACGGCACAACTCCCGGTACATCATTTACAGATCACCGCAGACTTTCGCTACTCAGGTTAAACGTAATATATAAACCACTTAGACAACCTAAAAATGTTATTGTTGGGCTTTTTCGGTGTTTTGTTTGTTCGTGAGTGAATCGGTATGGCTGAGATTAAAGTTATTAGATTAGATTAGATAAAATAAAACTTTATTAATCCCTCGGGTGGTTTTCACACAGCTGAATAATTGTCAAACAGAAAACTGATTAAACAGAAGTATGAGACAGTCGAGAATTTACGCCAGTGTCCTGTTATATTTTAGATAGCAAGGAGCAGTTTATTAAACTCCACCAAGACAGCGGTGACGCTAATCAGAAGGTGACGCTAATCAGAAGGCTAGACCGTCCATTTTCCCCAGCTGTTTACTTCCGGCCTACCCTGAGGACCCGGCCTTTGCAGTACGTGGGCCGGGTCCTCAGGAGGATGCAGCCCATGAATTTGGACACGACCAGAAGTTAAGCTCTCCTTGCAACATGGCAAATTAACCTCCCCCACCCTAATTCAGATCTGGCGTTTGGAGCTATTTTTGTTTTCATGTGACGTATGACCCTGAAGGTAAGCGCGTCATGGACAAAAGTAAAACAGTATGTTGGATGTGCCACGCAATGCTCAATTACATGGGTGGGAACTAGTGTGTTAGCGCAGTTTGCTCGTTAACGTGTTGACCGTCCAGCCCCACGCACGGGGCGAACCGCGGTAGCTCGTTAACGGAGATTTGCCGTGTTGTGGTGTTAACGTCATTTCAACGAGATTAACGCTGACAGCACTAGTGGGAACACAACGAATATGACTGCACATTTACTCCGACAGCATCCTAGTGCAAAGACAAGTGGAAGCAGACAAAAACAACAAGCATGCTACAAACTTTACCCGAGTCATTTAGACAGCCGTTAGCACATGATTCTCCTTATGGGGACCTGATATGTTTAATGTGCTGCTGAGAATATAGCCCAGAAGAAGCGGATAGTATAGCTTTTAGTTTGGAAAGAGCCATTTCTCTGTAATAAACTCTCTTTTCCAAAGATGAAATTAAAAAATTACTTTGTTGTTTCAGCAACATTAAATTTAAAAACTGTACTTTTGAGTTGAAATATATATTTATAATTTTAATAAATGACAAATTAAAAAGGCATGAACATTTATTTTTGTATCGAAAAAATATCGAACCGTGACACCAAAGTATCAAACTGAACCGAACCGTGAATTTTGTGTATCGTTGCACCCCTAATATATATATATATGTGTGTGTGTGTGTGTGTAAAGAAATGAGGGATGGCTCTAGACATACATTTGCACTGCACCCTATATGCAGTGTTGGGACTAACGCGTTATTAAGTAACGCGTTACAGTAACTACGTTATTATTGTGGTAACGAGCACGGTAACTAGTTATTATGCCAAAATCAGGAACGCGTTACTCGTTACTGGGATTTAGATAGGGTCGTTACTTCGTGTGGTGGCATCGCGGAGTTTCCACAGATTCAGTAACATTAGCAAGTGGTGGAGGCCGGCAGGTGGATGAAGG